CCTTCGTGTTCTTCTCTCCGGTGGAGATGCCGGGGGAACCAGCAACTCTCAAGGAGGCCTTGGAGAGTAGTGATGCCGAGGAGTGGAAGAAGGCAATGGAGAGTGAGCTGAAGAACATTGAGGAGAACGGCACGTGGGAATTGGTGGAGCTACCGGAGGGGCGTAAGGCGATTACGTCCAAGTGGCTCTTCAAGATCAAGTCCGACGCCGATGGCAAAATCGAGCGCTACAAGTCTAGGCTTGTGGCCAAGGGGTACCACCAGAAGGAGAAGGTGGACTATAAGGAGTTGTTTGCTCCTGTGGTGAAGCCGACGACGCTGAGAACCCTACTCGCGGGTGCTGCCATCAAAGGATGGGTAGTGAAACAAATGGATGTCACAACGGCATTCCTCAACGGCGTCCTTGAGGAAGAGATTTTTATGGCGCAGCCAGAGGGGTTTGATGATGGTAGTGGCAGAGTTTTGAAGCTGAAGAAGGCCCTTTATGGACTGAAGCAGGCCCCTAGGCAGTGGTACTTGAAGCTGCGAGGAGTTTTGGAGGAGATCGGCTTCACTCCCTCAACGGCCGATCACTCATTGTTCATGCTTGGTGAGGGGGAGCAGAGGAGCTTCATGGTTGTGTACGTGGATGACATCCTAATTTTCTCACCCTCCTCTGATCTTGTGAAAGAGGTGATGCTGAAGCTTCAAGACAAGTTCAAGTGCAAGGCCCTTGGTGACGTGAGCTTCTACCTCGGGCTCCACATCGAACGAGATGTGGAGAAGCGGTGCATGCGGGTGCATCAACGGAAGTACCTGGAGGCATTGGCTGCCAACTTTGGGCAAAGTGAAGGCCATGTGGCTACACCCTTTCCCTCTGGGTTCAAGTGTGTGAAGGGACCAGAGGAGGAGAGCGTTGGTGAAGAGGAGAGGCGCCGTTTTCACTCGTTGGTGGGCAACCTCATCTACGCGGCGGTAAACACCCGACCGGACGTCGCCTTTGCAACCGCACAGTTGGCTAGGGTTGTTCAATGCCCTAATGAGGAGCAGGTAGCAGCTGGAATGAGGGTGGCCAAGTATCTTGGCCAAATAGCGACGGTTGGGCTGCAATACTCGGCGGCGGCGCAAAGGCGCCAAAAGGGCGCGGATGGTGTTGAACCCGGGCGTTTGTTCCTCACTGCATTCTCGGATGCTTCTTATGCATCGGAACCAGAGGAGATGACAAGTGTTGGAGGGTTCATTTGCTGTGTTGGTGGAGGCCCAATTGCTTGGGAGAGCAAGAAGCAGGTGGATCAAGCATTGAGCTCGGTGGAGTCCGAGTACATGACACTCCGTGCCGTACAGGAGATTGTGTGGCAGCGGCGTTTGTTGGCTGAATTGGGGGAGGAGCAGCAAGGACCTACCCCAATCTACTGTGATAGCCAAGGTGCCATTGCTCTTACTAAGAACCCTGTGTTGCATGGCCTCACGAAGCACATGAGGGTGAAGTGGCATTGGACGAGGAGCGTGGTGGCTGCGGGTGAAGTTGAGTTGCGCTACGTGAAGACGACGGAGCAGCCAACTGACATGATGACCAAGAGGCTGGTGGAGCAGCAGCATTGGAAGTGTTGCAAGCTGGCTGGGATGGCTCTGAACTGAGAGAGCAAATTCATAAGGCCAACAATCCGAGGGGGAGTTTGTTGGTGCAACCCTACGGTTTGCATTCGGCTTGTTGTCCGTGTGCGTGCATGCGTGTGTGCATGGAATGGTATGAGGGCATGCAATAATATATATATTTTATGCTTACAATAGTGTGTGAATGATGAGGCATGTTTTCGAATGTGTGTGTCGAGTCAATAGCGAGTTATCGCTAGTCGCGTGTCACGTCGTCGTTTGCGTGTCGTGTGCGGTTTTCTATTTTGTCGCGTGTGGAACGTTCGGCGTGTCGCAGGTGTGCGCAACAGACTTCCAAGAACTCAAGGAAGAATTTATCTTGAAGAACCAGAGCCTTGGTTTCAACAATCAAGTGATTTCGAAGCTCTCCAAAAGGGTAAACTTTAAGATAGTGAGAATAGTTGCATTACTTTTTGTAGTGTAACATTTCTCTTGGTGTAGGCCTTTGTGGAGGGTAGTTTCGAGGCCCTTCGTGGTTGGGGACAGTGTGGTACTGTTCCACATCACTGTACCTCGGCTCTTGGGGTTTGTAGGAGCTGGGAGTCATTCCCAACTTGTAACTCTTCCTAATTTGTGTTCTAAGACTATAGTGGCTGCCATAGTACCGTTCGTTCAAACCAGCGCTGTGTCGTCAATTCTGAATGAAATCGTGCAATCTAGATTGCTTATTGTAGGCGACGTTAAGACGCTTCAGATCCAAGTTGAATCAGGTCATTTGAAGCTGTGACCAGAACGCTATCAACATTTGAAGCCGCTGTGCAGAAATCCGACTATGCACTCTATCTTTCGTTTTAGGCACATTCAAGCCTATTGTGACTATAACACCCACTTGGTTTCACTGGGTCGTTTCCTGCGGTTACCTAGTGGAGCCTCCGGCGGCCAGTCTACGGTCTCCGCCAGGCGCTCCGAGAGTGGCACGACACACTGAGGACTACACTTGCGGCTCTTGGGTTTGCTCCTTCCTCTGCAGACCCGTTGCTGTTTCTACGCACCGACACTACCCTGCCACCGTTCTACATCCTCGTGTACGTCGACGACTTGGATTTTGCTACTACTGACACTGAGGCGCTGGCCCTAGTGAAGGCGGAGCTGTAGGAGAGACACACCTGCACTGACCTGAGTGAACTGCGTAGCTATCTTGGCTTGCAGATCACCCGGGACAGAGCACGGCGCACCATCACCCTGACTCAGTCACACATGGTGCACCAGGTCCTTCTGCGCTTCGGGTTCCAGTTCTCCTCGCCACAGCCCACTCCTCTGTCTATCGGCCACTCGCTCTCAGCTCCACCTTCGGACGAGTCCGTAGAGCCGAGTGGTCCGTACCCAGAGCTTATGGGTTGCCTCATGTACCTGATGACGTGCACACGACCTGACCTCGCGTACCCTCTCAGCCTTCTGGCTCGCTACGTGGCTCTCGGTAGACACCGAAAGATGCACTGGGATGCTGCGAAGAGGGTACTGCGTTACTTGTGTAGTACATCAGACATGGGGCTCATGCTTGGAGGACGGGGTTCAGTGGTACTCACAGGACACTCCTACGCTTCTTGGGCCGACGACCACGCGACTCAGCGTTTGTCATAGGGCCACACCTTCAGTCTTGGCTCTGGTTTTGTCTCGTGGAGGTCCACTTGTTCTTCTTCTGTGCTTGGTTCTAGCTGTGAGGCCGAGATCTACGCTGGGGCCATGGCTGCACAGGAGCGGCCTCGTTCTCCTCCATTTCTGTACGTCGACAACAATGCAATGCTTGCCTTCTGTCGCGAGCAGAGACTGTAGCACAGAACGAAACACATTGCTCTTCGCTACTTCCTTGCGCGTGAGTTGCAGCAGTGTCGTCAGCTCCGCCTTTCCTACGTGGCCTCGCGGGCCAACACTGCTGATGTGTTCACCAAGGCCCTTGGGTCTGGTGATCATCAGCGTTTCTGCACTGCTCTTAGGCTTGTGCCCACTCTGCCGCACCTGCTGGTTGCTTGATTTGCTCTTGTTATACACTGATATATATCTTTATACCTGCTTGTTTACTCTTGCTAGGTTGTGATCAGTGTACTGCCTTGCTTTTATAACTCTGCATGTGAACTGGCCTTGTGGCCGCTTGCTTGTGCTCAGATTGTGTGGTGTCATTGAGATCCACCCTGAGCTTTGCTTTGCTTATTTTCTTGCTTGATTGGTCTTGTGACCGTCTGTTGTGTTTGCTATCTCCCACTTAGCCTATGGGGGTGTGTCAAACTATATGTTTTTGTTCTCTCTAGGCTATAGTGGGTTAGCCTACAAGGGGTAAATCACTTTAGGGTTAGTACTTGTATCCAACTCATTCATAGTTCATTCAATCCTGCACAGTTATTCTGATAGAAACTTTCCCTCCGATGCCATCTAGCTTGATATCATTCACAGCACTCTTCAAAGCTTCCAACAAATTGAAGTATCCCTAGCCAGAGCCTCCAAGTTACCACAGAAGGCACACAATGGACTGGGGCTTCCAGGTTCCAAGATACCTGTTGAGAGAAATATAAAAATTTTAAGAATGCAGATATTTGAGCGTGCGTGCATACGAGTGGGAAGATGGGGCTAGAGACAGGGAAGCACTTAAGAGCATGTGCACAGATGCACACTTAATGGAAAAAGACCAGGGAGAGGGAGAGGGAGAGGGAGATGGAGAGGGAGAGGGAGAGGGAGAGGGAGAGGGAGAGGGAGAGGGAGAGGGAGAGGGAGAGGGAGAGGGAGAGGGAGAGGGAGAGGGAGAGGGAGAGGGAGAGGGAGAGGGAGAGGGAGAGGGAGAGGGAGAGGGAGAGAGAGAGAGACTCACGGGGCACTGCGAAAAGGTCATTGCCAGCAGGCACGTCGGACTTCAGTGGGCTCCCAGCGCAGTTGGGCAGATCGTAGTAAACTTATGCCGAGCACCGCATGTTCGTGCCAGGAGCACGGTACAGAATGCCCATGGACCGCATGTTGGTAACCACGTCCTCAGGCATGGTTACACACTTGTTTGGCTTCAGGCGGAAGACATAAGGCGGACTTGTGGTGCCAAAGCTGAGGGAGCTGTAGATGCTGATGGTCATGTCTGCCACGTCAGGAAGGACTCCTGCAACGTGATTGGATGCAGGGGGGTGTTGGAGGGGGATTGGAAGTAGGGAGTGTTGGAGATGCAAAATCGATTGGGATGAGAAGGTGTAAGACTGTTAGGAAGATGAAAGGAAGAGACAAGGAAAATGCAAGGAAGATACAACGAAGATGCAAGGAAGTGCTGCTGGCACTACATGATTCCCTCAAATGATGGCGAAGCAGCAACTGCATCGTAGGTACTTACTACTCCGTTAATAGCATGAAAGAAGGCATGCATACCCCGCACCGCACCGCACGAACTACAGCACCCACCAGGCAGGCAAACACCAGAATTCATGTTGAAGCCAGGGGCGCAGTAAGGGTACGGTAGAGAGTTGGGGCCAAAGGTACCCTGAAGGCAGTCCTTGCATTGGCCTTCTCCTGTGGGCAGCATCGGGGTTGAGGAAATAACGAGGTAGGGAACAACGGAAGACGTGGGATTGGTGACTCGTGTGGATAGGGGATATGTCAAAACGGGTGTGATCTGATTCACGTGGGAGAGCGAGGAAGCAAGAGTGGGAGGGGGGGAGGGGAGAGGGGAGAGGGGAGGAATGGGTAGGAAATGGGATGGGATGGGACGAGGAGAGAGTATGGGAGAGGGAACGAGATGGAAAGAGCGAAAAGAAGGGGAACAGTGAGAGAGAGACAACTGACACACCAATATAAGCACACATACCGATGCAAGTCCCTAATACACCTTCCAGCTCGTAGCCTTGCTTGCAATTGCAATACGCGTTGTCGTTTGATAGAATGACGCAAGAGCCACCCGTGCCACAGTCCTTGATGGAGCACGCGTCTGCATTGGGAAAAAAAAAAAAAGATTGGGCAGATTGCATAGCACGGTGTTTAAGATCCGCCGGTTTCAAATGTCTTGCCCAGTCCAAGTTATTGCGTCACCGGCGTGCTTTGAGGGCGCTGAGGGGGATCAACAGGAGAAAGCGAGTGGGGAAAGTGAATGAATGGAACATTTTAGTGACCTGGCAAGGGCCACAAGCAGAGGAGGGGGGGGGGGGGGGGGAGGAGGAGAGAGAGTGGTGGGGAGGGAAAGGGAGCGACAAGGAAGGGAGGTAAGGTGGGAACTTTTCAGCTGTCAACTAAAGGAGAGAAACAGAGGAGGAATCGATCGAAACATGGTATTATCAGGAATGTGCATGCATGAAGACATGTTGTGCAAAAAAACGGACCAATGAGAGCACACCTCGTGCATGTGATGTTGGACAGATGAGTAGAGCGGGCGAGTGAGTGGAAGAAAGAGGCAGAGAGAGGGCAGAGAGAGGCGGGCAGGAGGGCTTAGTGGAGGGGAAGGCTGGTAAAGCACACTTGAGTCAACTGCTGTGAAACACACACACATGGGTCAATGCACGTGTGCAAGCGTCGATGCACGTGACACACACACTTGAGTCAACTGCCGTGACACACACACTTGAGTCAACTGCCGTGACACACACACTTGAGTCAACTGCCGTGACACACACACATGGTTCCATGCATGGATGGAAGTGTGCAAGAGTCGATGGATGGAAGTGCATCGCTCAACTCAACTTCCACGATTCACTCCTCTCCACTCCACTCCACTCCACTCCACTCCACTCCACTCCACTCCACTCCACTCCACTCCACTCCACTCCACTCCACTCCACTCCACAACATGATGAGTCTGACTCACCAACGCACAAGCCCTCAGGGTTCATGGCGAGGCCAAAGCCGCACGTGCACTACGCGAAGGGGCTGTTCTTGAGGGTGCACGTGGAGTCAGGCGGGCACGACACCAATACACACAGGTTGGCGACACTCACCAACGCAGGAGCCCTCGGGGCCCAAGGTGAGTTCAAAGCTGCACGTGCACTGAGCACGGTCTTTAATGCAACTAAAAAGTGACGATGACTCACCAACGCAGGCACCATCGGGGTCCATGGCAAGTCCGAATCCGCACGTGCACTGCGCCAAGGAGCTGTTCTTCAGGAGGGTGCACGTGGAGTCAGGCGGGCACGACGCTATGTCACACAGGTTCGTGACGTTCGGCTTCACGGCCATCAGACACGAGAAGGACCGCGCTTTGGCGTCCACGCCGGCTGTCTTCCTGCAAACGGTGCAACAAACAGGCAACAAGTGGAGCCACTTTTGGGACGTCTCAAAAAGCACAGAGGGTGGAGGCGGGTGGCTTCACGGACATGAGACACGAGAAGGAGCGGACCCTGGCGTCCACGCCGGCTGTCTTCTTGCAGTCAGTACAAACAGGCAACAAGCGGAGCCATTTTTGAGGCATCTCAAAAGGCACAGAGGGTGGCAACGGGCGGCTGGCCCCTCACTCACTTGACGCTGGTGGTGGCGTAGTCGAGCTTGTTAAACTTGGCGGTCGTCCACTTGCCGGGAATCACGTACACAGATGCCGACCCGGAGCAGTTGCTCTTATCCCAGAACAGCACCTTCCCGCACACCGGTTGATCCCTGATGCCGTCATCCACATTCCACAGGATGCGCAGCGACCCCACCGTGCCGCTGAACCCCTTGGGCACGAGTGTGCACGCGGATGAGTTGGGCGGCGGGTCGCGCAGCACGGCCGGCGGGAGCGTGGCGGGCGAGTTGGCGAAGGAGGGGGCGTTGTAGAGGACCACGCTTGTGCCGACCGTTCGCCACCTGTAGTAACGGTTGCAATAGCCGTTGTTTAGGGCATGGCCGAAGGGGCACGTGCAGAAGGGGAAGTCGTTGCGGTCCAACCGGCAGTACGCCCCCATCGGGCACACCACGCCGTCGGGGCAATTGACTGGCGGAGGGGGGAGGGGGACGGGAGAGGGGAGGGGGAAGGGGGGAGGGGGGGAGGGGGACAGGAGAGGGAGGGCACGGGCGTGTGGATTAGTTTGGCGCATCACGGGGAAAATCAAAGTAAAAAAAACGCGACGAAACAAGACGGTCTGGATGCGGATGGGACAGGTGGAGCGACGGATGCAGTGACAACAGCAGTGACGACAGTAGTGATAACGGCAGTGACGGCTGCAGTCCCTCGGACGACTGTGTGGGCTGCTCACGAGGCGGCTTGGCGGCGGCCATCTCGCGGCGGGTGGGGCTTGCTTCACTGAGCGGCCAAGCGTAGCCCGCGACGAGACGATGCGACGATGAGAGGCGAGCCGATGAGATGATGCGGAGGCGACTGTGTGGGACACTCACCAGGCGCCTTGGCCATCTCGCGGCGGGTGCTTGCTGCTTCACTGAGAGGCGAAGAGTAGCCCGCGACGAGACGATGCGGCGATGAGAGGCACGCCGCGTGCAGCAGCAGCGCCAACACGACGACCGTCCGAGATGAGGCCATTTTCGCACTCGTGTATAGAAAGCACTGTGGGAGCAGGAGGGTGTGTGTCAGTGAAGCGATACGGAAGGAGAAACGAAGGCTCGATCTTCAGGGAGAGGTGGGCTGTGTTGAAAGAATTTTCTGAGAGTTGGGAACTCACAGCCCAAGGTGATGTGGCGGTGGTACTAATTGTGAAGGGAATGAATAAATGCTGAGAGAAGGCACTCACTGCTTTCAAACGACCCGCAGAGGCGGGTTGCGCCTCTGCCAGCGCCTCGAAGCGGAGTGCTCCCTGGAGAGTAAGCAGCGCGCAGATGAGATCAACAACAGCAAGCTTTCAGGTGAGGGGTGCTTGACAGCCGCCGACCCATGGGGGTGCCGCGTTCTGACGCAGAACATACGGGGTGCCTATGTCCCTTTGCCCGCAAATGAAGCACATGTTTTGGTGTGTTGTCCAGGTAGCGACGTTACGCCGCCATTATGTTTTGAACGGCTCGTACAAGTGGCAATGTCAGCTGTGAACTGTACAAGGACCCGTTGACTATTCTGGCTTGGGGATGCCGTACAAGGTCGCATGGGGGTGCTCTGTTGACGCAGAACATACGCGTGGCAATGTCAACATACGGGGCTCCTTTGTCTGCGAGCAAAAAACGAGTTCTGGTGCCCACATAGAACATCAACGTTGGCATGCGTTCCACGCAAGCGAGTTTCCCGCGGACTAAAAAAAACGAAAACAGCGGGATGCCTTCGATAGTCAACTTCAAGGGATGCTAACTACGAACAAGGTGTTGCCGCCGTAAAACATACGGGTGCCTAATAAACTCAAACGTACCCCTTTGCCCACAAGTGATTGACATAGAACAGCAACGCTGGCACCTGTACGTTCTGGTGCTGGGAGGGTCGCATTCTGGGTTGTGTGTCGCGAAGAAGGCTTACTTTTCGCGATTTATGACTTTGCGCGAGTTTGTTACAAGTATACAGCTACTTTCGCATTCCGAACCTGTTTTAGTTGTCAGAAACATCACAACTAGCCGATTTACAAAATGCGGTAACGTATCGTGCGTAACAGACGTATACGGCAGGTAAACAGAGGGACGAAATAGATTTTGACAGTGTAACACGGTTCGCGCACGTCGTCTATCGCGAAGTCTGGACCTTCTTTGCGACGCACGACTTGAAAAGGTTTCTTGTACCGGAACATACGGATGCCAAGATGCCAAGCCAACGTCCCTGCTCTAAAAGCGCACCATAACATACTTCGTTTTCCGACAAAGGGGCATCCCTACTTTGCCACCCCTAAGTTTTTAGTCACCACCCCCACCTAGTAGGTGCGGGAACCTAGTAGGTGTTTAGGGATGGCTCTCGAAGGGCATGCCAACCATAGAGGTTTATTTGCTTTTCCCGCAGGTAGCGCTAGACATTCCCGTAGGTGTGCGAGCATTACAAATTCCTCAACTAAGGGAGTTGAGAATTCCGTCAACGCCTTGGGGCAAGGTGTTTACCATGGTTGATGCCTCCCAGGCATCCTGTCCATATGGGTTCAAGTTTATGTTGCCCGCTGGCGGTAGCTCGCTTGCGGCCCCAGCTGGCGTTGACAACCGTTTGTTCTTCACATGGGGGTCATGCCAACGTCGCTGATCCACGTCGGCGCCCCTACTATGGACCCTTGCACCGCACCCCTAACGCAAAATCGTCAACCACCTGCGCCATAATCGTCAACCCAACTCGATTGCCGCTGCGAAGTGAAAATCGTCACCAAAATCGTCAACACACAACCCATCCACAGCAGAAAACCTACTAATATGACTGCCCTCTCCTCATTCTGCTATTGGATCTGACCTGGGCGCTCCACTCCTCAATCCACGACTGCGATGGCTTACTCTCGGGCGACCGTCGTCTTTGCATTGCTGCTGCAAGCGGCATGCCTCTCATCGCCGCATCGTCTCGTCGCGGGGCACATCTGGCCTTTCAGTGAAACAGGCGTTATGGGCGCACTCACCCGCTACTTAACAGGCCCTTTTATCCCAATGGCGCCTGGTGAGCGTCCGACGCAGTCATCACAGTCGTCGCAGTCGTCACAGTCGTCGCGTTTGTCGCAGACGACATAGTCGTTCACGGTCGTCACACTCGTCCCATTCGTCGCTCATCCGTACCATCTTTGTCTGAGTCGGCCATGCCCATTCCATCCCCAAATGTGTGTAGAATTCAGTTTCCCCATCCCCTACTACTCCACATGCCCGTGCCCTCTCTCCTTTCGAGCCGAATGCCCCCACGGCGTTGTCTGCCCGGCAGGCGCGTCGTGCATGCTAGACCACTACGGCTACCCTTATTGCAAGTGCGGGGACGGGCACGCCATCATCAACGGCGCGTGCGCGACGGCCGCGAACTGGACGGAGGTGGGCACGAGCGTGTCGTTCTCCCAGCGCCCCGGCTGCAAAACCCTCCCCGAGGACTTTGCCACCTGTCGTGCTGCGCGGCCCGCCGCCCAACACGTCGGCGTGCGTGAACCTGCCGAAGGCGTTCACCAGCACCGCGGGGTGTGTGCAGATGTTGTGGAACGTGGATGATGGCGTGCAAGATCACCTGGTGTGCGGCAAGATCATGTTCTGGGACAAGCCGGACTGCACCGGCTCGAGTCAAGTGGACGAGTATCATGGTGGTTGGGCCACAGCCAAGCACGACACCTTCACCATTCACAGCCGATACTAGTGAGTGGCGCTGCGACTAGTTTTGCGCCGCAAGACTAAACTTGTGAGTGGTGCCGCGACTATGGCTCGCACGGTCTATAACCTGCTTGCAGTGTTTCGCGTTTAGGCCAATCCTGTACTGACCGTGACTCTGCTTGTGTTGACTGTTGGGTACGAGTGCAGGATAGCAAGAGGCGTAATTGCGAATACCCGGTCCTTCTCGTTTCTGGCTGCCCATCTTCCGCCTGTCGCGGATCTCTGTGCCACGGCGTCATGTCCAGCCAACTCCAAGTGCGCCCTGAAGGGCGGCACCTTCGCTCAGTGCACCTGCAACTTTGGAATGACCATGGTCAAGGGCGGCATGGAATGTGTTGGTGAGTGACTAAATTACCCTAAACTCCACTCTCCTCCTCTGTCCCACCCCACCCGCCCCCTCTTTCTCCCCCTCTATCCCACCCGCTCCCCCTCTCTCCCCTTCTGTCCCACCCGCTCCCCCTCTCTCCCCCTCTGTCCCACCCGTTCCCCCTCTCTCCCCCTCTGTCCCACCCGTTCCCCCTCTCTCCCCCTCTGTCACACCCGCTCCCCCTCTCCCCCCCTCTGTCCCACCCGTTCCCCCTCTCTCCCCCTCTGTCCCACCCGCTCCCCCTCTCCCCCCCTCTGTCCCACTCGCTCCCCCTCTCCCCCCCTCTGTCCCACCTGTTCCCCCTCTCTCCCCCTCTGTCCCACCCGTTCCCCCTCTCTCCCCCTCTGTCCCACCCGTTCCCCCTCTCCCCCCCTCTGTCCCACCCGTCCCCCCTCTCTCCCCCTCTGTCCCACCCGTTCCCCCTCTCTCCCCCTCTGTCCCACCCGCTCCCCCTCTCTCTTGTCAACGGGAGTTGTTGTTGGCCCCGTCCTTGCTTGGGCAGAGCCGACCTCGGGGTTGGGTGTGAGGAGTGCAACCGACCTGCAACAGTGGGCAAGCTGGTCGACGGGCCTGGTCTAGGGTTTAGGCCTGGCCGACCAAGGGAAGCCGACTGGCTGTGGTCGGCTGACAGGTGTACTGGTCGACCTGGAGTTGGTCGACCAGGTGGGTTGTCGACTTGGAGTTGGTCGACCAGGGGAGTGGTCGACCTGGTAAGGTCGACATGTGGTGGTTGTCGACCTGGGCGGTCGACGGGCCTGGGATGACACACCTGGTCGACATGGTTGCCTGGTTGACCAGGTTACCCAGACGAGGAGGTCTGCGAGGTTTGCGACTGTCGCCCAGGTAGATTGGCAATGTCGACCTACGGTTTGGTGGCACGTGGTCAACAGGACTCCTCAGGTGCAACCGTCAACATGTGGTTGACTTGGCACCTGCGCAATGTGCGTGGCGGTGCATGTCGTTACCGTCACTTAACACCTGCGAAGTAGGTGCGCGCACATGAGCTCGTGTCGTGACCTGTGGTGGCCTGGTGTTGGTGTGCTGGCACGTCAGCCTTGCAGGTCGACTGAGGACGCCTGAGGACACCTGAGGTCGACCAGCTAGCAAGTCGCCTTCGTGCTAAGCTGGTGGTCGACTTGTATGCTAGGCTTCTAATGTAGTCTACCTTGCCAATCTAGTTGCTACCATTGTTCTCCACTTTTGCTAGTGAAACTCTTGTGGTTTTGCCCTGTGAACGCACAAGTGCTAGAGAACAACTAAGTGAACGAACGCAGAGATCCCTCGTACCCCATGCCTAGCCCGTAGTCTAGCTCCGGTTGATAGAGTTATCTCCGCATGGTGCGGTGAGTGTGGACGGCACACGACTTACCCCTTCAGTCAGGTCGACGTAGAGGTCACTTACCTAATTCGTGTTTGTAAGCCGGCACCTGTGCGGTCGTCACTATGGTAGGCGCCGTAGGTGACGCAGGAGTGGTGGACACCCTGGAGGCATGGCTAGAGGACACGAGGAGACGCCATGAGGCCAACGAGTACGGGCCAAACCTACCGTTGGCGGTCATCGAGGCAGGCATCCGCTCGGTATGGGCGGAAGAGCACCCTGCTCGACAAGCTTCTCTTCGACTGGTGAACAACGAGGGCGGCGTCGACGTGGGAGTCAATGCCGGTGGTGACCAAGTCGGCAGCAATGCGGGAGGCACGTCGAGGCAGCGAGGTGTGATACACGCCGATGAGGTCAGCGGTGTTCAGGCGCGAGGGATGCAGTCGTCGGCGGCTGCAGGCTCCTCACAAGGCGACGTCGGAGGTCGACGAAGCAGTTTGTCGCCGATGTCCGCGACCCACGTGACAGCGGGCGGGATTGCACCGAGCAACGGCTACTTCAAGTTTACGCCGGACAGGATCTCAGTCACCCCCCTGCTTGTTGGTCGACCTGATATCCTCACCTAGAAGGAAGCCATCGAGCCCCAGCTGGAGATGGCCGGGCTGATCGGCTTCGCCAGGGGCACTGTGGCGACGCCGGAGGAACACTACCCCGACTTGCGTGCGGAGTTTTGTGCCGTGCAGTTGCTGACCTTCACGGTCATCTCGCGGTGCTGCTCGCCGGGCGTGCAGATTGCCTTGAAGTCGTGCACGGAGTACCTTGACGCCGGCCATCGGGCATGGCACTTCATCGAGTCAACGTACCAGGTCACCGACGCCCTGTACATCGGCCAGTTTGAGGAGCAGCTGTCGCACATACGGATGGGCGAAGAGGAGACGGCGACCGACTACTGCAACCAAGCTCGGCGAATTCTCGCCACCATGAGGATGGCCGGCGTGCACTACTCGACGGCATCGTACCTCACGCACGTTATCAAAGGGCTCACGCGCAGCTACAACCTGCTGAAACGACTGTCGTTGGCGCCGGGTACTAGGGCGACACTCAACGAGGATTCCCTTGCCTCGTACATCCTGTAGGATGAGGCGATGCAGGAAGCTGAGCGGCCCTCGGAGCTCCTTGCACAGGTGAACTACGTCGGCCTGGTGAAGCAAGGTGGTCGACCGGGGCAGCGCGGGCAATCTGGCGGCGGCGGTAGCAGTGGCTGAAAGCCGACCAAGGACGCCGACAAGAAGAAGTCGGCCAAGGATAGCGGTAGGGGAGGAGGAAGTCGACGTCGGAAATGCTGGATGTGCGGTGACCCCAACCACCTCTCCTTCGAGTGCCCCGACCGCAGTGACTCCGACGACAACAACGCCAAGGGAGGCCGCTTGAGGTCTGGCAGCTGTCGTCCCCGTCGAGGCAGAAACCAGCCGCGCAAGGAGAAGCAGTCGACCAAGTCGTCGACCTCGGCGAAGGACGCTGACTCCTCTGCTGGCGGCAAAGGGCGAGACGACAAGGAGGCGTCGTGCTCGCTGGTCGGCGTCGTGGAGCCGACCATCTCGCTGGCGCCGGAGGCCGGCGAGGACTTCCAGGCGATGGCGGCAGCCGTGCAGGCAAACCCGGCGGTAGTTCTGCTCGATAGTGGTTGCTCCCACCACTTGATGGGGACGAAGGAGGTCTTCGTCGACCTACAGCCAAGCGGCGACGTCAAGCACATGCGTGGCTTCAATGGGGCGCTGCAGGACGTCCAAGGCCGCGGCAATGTTGCTCTGCAAGGGGAGGCCAGGAGGCAGGTGCTCATCTCCGACGTGCTCTATATCCTGGGCGTGCGAGCGAACCTGCTTTCGGCGGGTCATTTGAAGGAGAACGGCGTGAAGCTGTAGGAGTACGGCGACGGAATGTTGCTCGTCTCGGCGGCGGGAGACGTCCTTGGTCGGGCGTCCTACACCGGGCGAGTTCTCTGCACCAACCTGCGTCCCTGCTCGGCGAAGTCGACAACGCCCACGACGGAGGTCGTGGCCCTGCGGGCGATCGTCTCGGTGACAAAGTCGACGCCGGACAGGCTGCATGCGAGGCTTGCATACGTTGGCATGAACACCATCCGGAGCTCGGCAAAGCACGAGGTCGCCACTGGGCTGAGAACCTGGCAAAGGACCGAGTCAGGTGGCGGCAGAAACGACGGTGGCGGCGGAACGAAAAACGATCGCCGCTGCATAGTGCCTCCAGCACCAGTACTGCTAGCTCCACCACCCCTAGCGCCAGCACCTCCACCTCCAGGGTCTCCAGCTCCAGTGCCTCCAGCTCTAGCGCCTCAAGCTCCAACGCCTCCAGCTCCAGTGCCTCCGGCTCCAGGGTCTCAAGCTCCAGCTCTTCCAGCTCCAGCGCCTCCAGCGTCAGTGCCTCCAGCTCCAGCGCCTCCAGCGCCAGGGTCTCCAGCTCCAGCTCCTCCAGCTCCAGCGCCTCCAGCGCCAGTGTCTCCAGCTCCAGGGTCTCAAGCTCCAGGGTCTCCAGCTCCAGCGCCTCCAACACCAACAGCTCCGGCAGCTCCAATATCTCTGCTACGAGCACCTCCAAGACCAGCAGCTCCAGCACCTCCGGTACCTCCAGCTCCAGCAGTAACTCCAGCACCTCCAAGACTAATAGCTCCAGCACCTCCAGCTCTAGTGCCTCCAGCGGCAGAGCCTCCAGCTCCTGCAGCTCCACTCCGAAGGCGTGTGCGTTGAGCAAACCACTCGCGCAGCTGCTGCGGTGAGAGAGGCTCCCGCCGGGGAGACAGTCGTGGCGAGGCACCCGCAGGACCTCCAGCAGACGCAGTACCCCTAGGCTCAGCACCCCCAGAATCCGCACCCTCAGACTCAGCACCCCCAGGCTCCGCACCCTCAGGCTCAGCACCCCCAGGCTCCGCACCCCCAGGCTCAGCACCCCCAGACGCAGCACCCCCAGACACAACACCCCCAGACGCAGCACCTCTAGCAGCACCTGAGTCTACAGCGACCTCGACAAGCACAGTCCCGGGGAGTGGGTCTACCTGAGACACACCTGAGGGAGCAGGACCCTGGGGAGGGAGGGGGTCTACCGGAGGGGGACCTGAGGCAAGGAAGAGCGGCGGGGGGGGGGGGGGGGGGGAGAGGGGCAGTGCGGTAGGGGAAGAGACGGTAAAAGGGAACCGACTCGTCAAACATGACATCCTGAGAGGGGAGGACACGGCGCGAGGCAGGGTGGTAAAACTGCCAGCCAGGCGCGTCAGGGGGAAAGCCAAGGAAGACGCAGGGAATAGCGCGGGAGGAGAGCTTGTCCACGGAAGTATCGCGGACAAAGGCATGAGAGCCCCAGACCCGGAACACCGACGCGTCGCCAACCTTCCCCGTCCAACGCAGTGTAGGCGAGGTCTCAGGCAAGGAGACATAGGGCCAGAGGTTGAGCTGATGCGCAGTGTACCGGACCGCAAACGGCCACAGAAAATGGGGAGCAGCCGCATGGATCATGGAGGTACGAGCCACCTCCATGACTAAGCCAATGCGGCGCTCAGCAACCCCATTTTGTTGCGGGGAGGCCGGAAGCGTGAACGACTGGAGAATGCCCTCCCCACGACAAAAGTCCCGTAAGAGGTCGGAGGAGAACTCACCACCTCTGTCAGAGTGCAGACGCAGGACAGGAAGGTCCTCGCGGAGTCGCTTACAGAGCTGGAGACGGACTGCGCGGATCCAAGGGATCAAGACATCAGGGACCTCACCCTTGCTGCGCAAGGGGAAGACCGTGATGTAACGCGTGTAGTCGTCAACAACCAGCAGGAAGTAGCGCTCGCGGTCCTGTCCACTGACGGGGGCTGGGCCCCACACGTCCATGTGGAGAGTCTGCAGGGGAGCAGTCCTCGGGGGAAACAAGGAGGAGTGAGGAGCGGTGCGCTGCCGCCCCTTGATGCAAGGAAGGCAGGGCGGGGCAGGCGAGGGTGGGAGGGGAGGCAGAGACCAGGGAAGACCAGAAACAAGGAGGCGGGAGTGCATGCCACGAAGGCGTGGCAGGGAGGGGTGACCAAGTCGGTGGTGCCATGGAAGATTCTAGTGCGACAGGAGGCGACACGAGCAGGGGGCTGCTACCGGACCTAACGCAGACACTTGAGTAGACGCAGCTACTTGAGGAGGCTCGGTAGTTAGTGTGTACAGACTCGACCTAGGGCGACGGGTGAACGTGGCCAGGTGACGCCCCGTCTGTGTACACGTGCAGATCGACACACGCTGACCCCCAGGAGTGGTGGTAGTGACCATCGCATCCTGGAGGGCAGCGGTACTCACCAAGTTCGTAGAGAACGAGGGGGGGTGAAGACCTGACAGTGCGCCGTACGGAACCACCGGACAAGGGAGAACAA